AACGGGCCTCAATTTCGGAATCCAGGGTTCACCAAATACTTGGAGGACTTCGGGATTACTCACAACAAGGCTTCCGTGGCCTACCCGCAAGGGAATGGTCAGGTGGAGAATGCGAACCGCACAATAGTCGATGGGATTAAAAAGCGGTTGGGTGAGGCAGGAACAAATTGGCTAGAGGAGTTGCCACATATCATCTGGGCTTACCGAGTCACTTCGAGAAGGGCCACCGGGGAGACACCTTTCGTCCTTACTTATGGATGTGAGGCCAGACTACCCATTGAAGCAAAAATAATGACCTTCCGGGAAAAGATCTATGTGGAGAAAGGGAATGAGGAAGACCATTTGGCAGAGTTGAACTTATTGGAGGAAAGGCGGATGGTTGCTGAGGCTAAAATGATAGAGTACTAGCAAGCAGCCAAGGCCTACCATGATAACAAGGTAGGGCCTCGTTATTTCCAAGTCGGTGATGAGGTCCTGAGACGAAGGGAGGCCATCAAACCGGGTGATGGTGGAAAGCTTGCGAAGAAATGGGAAGGTCCATATAGGGTCAAGGCAATACTACGCCCAAGGGCATACAAGTTGGAGACAATGGAAGGTCGAGAATTGGAAAGGTGCTGGAATTCCCACCACCTTAGAAAATTCTAGCGATAGACGAAATTGGCAGGGCATGTATTTGTAATACCCCTTCGATGATAAATAAGAGATTTCTTCAATACTAGTGTTGCTGGGTCAGTAATACTAAACTAATGTCTTGATGTAAGAGGCAAGGTCAAAAAAAAAAGATAAACCCTTGAGATAGGGGCCTTGATGTTGAGGTATTGCCTTGAGATAAGCTGGGTCTGGAAGAGGACTCGTGTCCATACTTACATGGATCCCTACCAAATTTACATTTGGATAGGGGCGGCAAAAAGATGCCAAAGTAAAAAATGATTACCGTCTTGCATGAGCCATCCTTTGCGGATTGAAGGGTCTAAGGAAGACTAGAATTCACTTCAAACGCATAACATATGGACATGTAAGATTGGATGAGGGCTGGTTCTCACCGGCATACCCCCACGATGGGAAGACTGGGTTGGCTAGGTCAACCTAATGATTATAGAATGGCACATTAAAAGACTTAAAACCTGGAAGAGGGGCCCTGGAAGAAGGGTGTTGCCTGGAAGAGGGCTGAACCTTGGAGAGGGTTCGCGATCATAGGACATGGTCAAAATCTCCGAAGAAAGTTCGGGTCTTGATGTTGAGACTTGATGATTCCAAAACCGTTTCGGATTATTTGTTCGAAATTTGAGCAAGGTTGCTGTTAGGCATGACACCCAGGCAAGAGGGGGAAAAGAAGGTGGCACGGTCAAAAGTGACCGGTCACTTTTTGACATTCTGGATTGACAAGAAAATGCGAATGGGATAAAATAAAAATTTGACCGGTCAACTTTGAGAAAAGTGACCGGTCACTTTTTAGTTAGCGGTTTTGATGAAATCAGACAAATCTGGAAAAAATATTTTTTGACCGGTCACATTTTTGACCCGGCACCTGGACAGGAAATTTGACGTCATGCTGGTTACATATTGGTCAGGAAGAATTCAACCTAGACGATTGTCACATTCTAACCTGGAAGTTGACTAGGTCAGAAGACAAGCGGGGAAGAAACCGACCTAGACGTTTTCAAGTCAAGAAACCAGGACATGAGATGACCTGGAAGTTTTCAGGCCTTTGCGTCTAAGGTGGTCTTCAAAACTTCCAACCTAGCTACTACACCGGGACATGAAATGACCTGGACGTTTGTTGCAGTTCAACCTAGACACAAGCCGGTCCAGAAGACTAGTCAGGCATAAAGTGATCTGAACGCTCTCAAGGCTACAAGATCTGGACGTTTTCAAGGTTGCAAGACCGAGAAGTTTTCAAGGCTTGTACTTGACCAGGACATAACATGACCTGGACATTTTCAAGAGATGAAAATTGACCAGAACATGAAAAGACCTCGACGCTGTCAACAAAGCCTACCAGACCTAGACATTTCTAAGGCGTTAACCAAAGACCAGGACATGAGGTGACCTGGACAACTGCAAAGGATAAAGCCGGTTACTTCTTTTGACTTGGAATCAAGCATATTCAAGAAAATAGTTAACCAAGCCAGTGAGGCCTGGGCGTTTTCAAGACCAGGACATGAGATGACCTGGGCGTTTTTTAAGACGATTCCGGTTAGTCTTATTGACTTGGAAGTTCATTCAAAGGCGATCAAGAAGAAGAAAAGAAAAGCAATAACCATGCATAGAAAAGGACAACCATGCAAACTGAAAGAAGAAACAAGCCAGTAAATTGAAAACCATGTCAAACAAAAGATAATATTAAACAAGTCAGAAGTAGGCCGGACATCCCCCAGGCCTTGGGAAAATTCAAAGTTTTTTAAAAAACCAAACCCTAACCTATTCTAGGGGAAAGGGGGGAGCCGGCTCTTCCTTGTAGAGGACTGGAAGCTTCATTTTGGCCGGGTCAAAGGAAGGATCCCTCTTCAGAAGTCTGGCATAAAGAAGAGACCTCTCATCTTTCTGACCACACTGGAATCCATAAGACCCTATCTCCGTTATCATCCTCTTCCCCTCCGGCTCTTGATACATGACTTTGAAAAAGTCCATGGTTTCCTCCGGGGTAGTGAGAAGGGACCGGGCAACCTCCGTGTGATGGCGCACAGCCCAGTCAGCAGCTTCAGAGGGAAAGGCCTCCTCCTTTGCCCGGACAGATTCTTCAGCCTGGCCCAGCGCATCCTCGAGCTCGGCGGTCTTTCTCTTCTTTTCCTCCTCCAGAAGAGCAAACTGGGCCCTTTCTTCCTTCAACTCTTCCTCAAGTCTCCTCTCCCTTTCTGCCCGGTCATTGATCTCTAACTTAGCAGAATCAAGGAGGAGGGTGAGTTGGGAGACCTGGTCCTTCTCCTTTAATGTTTGGCCAATCTCCTCTGAAATGACCCCGGCCTGTAAAAATAAAAAATAAAAAGAGAGGAGGCATATCAGTAAAAGTGAAGGAAAAACGTGAACCGGGAAGAAAGGTGGAGATGAAATACCTTGCTGAGTTTTTTGGCCAGGGATAGGAAGGCTTCTTCGATGGTTTCCCCCTCCCTGTCTGATAAGCTAATCTTCCTCTTCTTGCCTCCCCTGGAACTCTTATGAGAGCTCTTCCTTTTTTGGTCCTTGGCTTTTGAAGAGGAAGATGCACCGACCTCTTTAGCACCTGATTGGACCGGGACTTTGGGGGGATTAGCCCGGTCAACCTCAGAGTGATGCCTAGCTGAAGGAGATTTCAGCTTCTGGCTCTGCTCATGGATAGGGCTACACCGGGCACTTGTGGCCCCATCCATTCCAGGAGAGTTAGAGAGAGGAGACCGGTTGGAGTGGAGGACTTGGACATCATCGTCGTCATCCTCAATGATGGTGGTCATCCTGTTGAAGTTCATGTCTGCCAAAAAGAACAAAGTGACCGGTTAGATTTTACACCTTATCAAAATGAAAGTGGAATCAAAAGGTTGAGGAAAATTAACCAACCTGGATGAGGAGAGCCGGCCTCAGCGTGACCATCCGGGGAATCAGC